ATCACTGTTTCTGTCCCCACCACCACACGACTTGGTTTGCAGGAGATGTTAATATCCTTGGAAGAAGCCTACATGTGACATCTTTTAACATGGGGACACCGGTACACAAGCAACAGCCACATGAACTTGACAGGAAGGAGCCCTGAACCCAGTGGCAAGCGTTGTCCAAGACAACCAAAGACCTCCATCCCACTTCAGCCCTTGTCCGCCTTCATGGCCACAGAGAACCAGCAGGTCCTCCACTGGGGTCTTCAGGAATTTGTACTACGCTTAGTCTAGGACCTCACCTCAAACCTGTTTACGAGGGAAGACCCTACCGGGAATACAAAACTCCAGGGTTGGGAACAGACATTCAAAAAGCCTGAGCCTGAATTGATTCAACCTTTGCAGGTTAGTCTAACTTGGCTAGGCTAAACCAGTTTGTAACTGGACAGACATTCTCTGTGGACTGAGGAAATTCAGGCACATGCCTGCAGTGGTTCAGGCTAGAAGTCAAGGGGTGCTAAAGCAGCCCTCCCTTCCCTTTCATAGTACTGAGCTGAGGGGAGCATGACCAGGCCCTGGCAGGACCTCTGATTAAGGAAGTCTGCCTGCGCCATCCCAGACTTATCCCCACTGGCTGCTCAAGGGACAGGAGTGTTGCCAGCCCCCAGCCCCCTGCTAGCACTCTGAGGCAAGGGAGGGTATGCAGTGCATGCATCTGTTGATGATACAGAGCTTTTCAATCTCCCTCTCCTTGCTTCTTTATACTGCCTGCAGCAAACTGACAGGTAAGCAAGCCAGCAGGGGGCTGATAGCAGTGTTTATCACCTCATCAGCAAAACAATAGCCTCTCTCCATTAGTTTAAATTTTTCTTAAACAGCTTAATAGCTGACCTGTTGATTAGCTCCAAAAAGCCCTATATGGTCACTGTTCTGTCAGCCTGTTCCAGTGAAACTGGAAACAAGCACACACAGATACCTCTTGGCATTAGCTAGCATAACACATGCCTAGGGTCTGTGGGGATAGGATCTGTGCTGAGGGAGAGGGAAGAATCCCTGCTGTGAGGGGGTGTGGGGGTAGGGCAGGGGGAAGCTAGGCAGATCCCGCTGTACCTGCAGTCTCTGCCAGAGCTCTAGCCAGGGAGCAAAAGGGAGGGGCCAGCCCTGCTGTGAAGCAGAGAGCCCACCCAGCCCAGAGAGCATGCTAGGATGCTGGGGGTGTCTGATTTAACTTGAACCAGCAAGG